AACCCCTTTGCCCAACTTTCACCGTAATATGTCCCCAAAACATCCTCAAGCCACGTGTCTTGCAGCCTTACTGGAAAAACTCTCACGAATGTGAGATGCAGATGTGCTGTCCGAGCGAATCAGCCATCATTCTTAATCCATACATAATGATAAGTTCTGTGCCGCTGAATTCGATTTACCAGTGCGCTGTATCATCACTTGTTTGGCAAGATTTGGTGAGCATCTTCTGAGTCCCCATAACCAGTTCCAGCACGAGTCTTGGCAGAGTCTGAACTGCGCTTTCTGGAACTCGGCTTCCCGCCTTGAGATGCCGGTTGCGATATTACAAAATATATAATAAAAGTAATTATTTCAGTGCAAGGTCTTTCTATGACCGCACATCCAAGGTACCTTAAATTTTGGCAGTTCTCGAATCGGTATTAACTTCCCTGCAAGCCCACATGTTACTAAATCAGGCACCTGGCATCTTGATTGTTGAGGCTATAATTTTACACCATACCAAATGCTCAGCATGTTTTCTTTTCTGATTCGCATGAAGTTAAACTTTTCTAAATTCAGCCAGGAGCCGGAAATTTTCCGAATTATTCTACTAAGCCACAGGCGGGTCCGAGCGACATGGGATCCCGGACAAAAAAGAATATCAAGGGGAGCGCACGCTCGAGAGGACACCGTTGGTCCCCTGGCGTTCAGTCTCTGCGGGCAGCTAGACAGTGGTCAGCTGTCTGTTCCAACCGGTTCCAGACGCCCGCGCGCCCCGCCGAGTGTGCAGCTGGGCTGCGGGCGGGGCTGGCTCCTCAGCCTGACTCACAGAGCCTTTGTCTCGCGCCAGGCCAGTGGCGGACCCTCAGGGGAGGGGTAGCGCCCCGGAGTGTCGTCCGCGCTGCGTGCTGTTTGTCCGAATCGACTGATAGCGTCGATGGCCTCTTGACGTTTGCTTTGTTTGCTCCGGGTCAGCCGGCCGCCGCGGCGTCGATAGCTGGGTCAAAGGGCGCCAGGGCAGATCATCCCAGTGCGGTCGCACGGCTAAACCGCCGCCCTGTCACCGCGCGTGGCCCCGCCGGCCAGGGACGGCCGAAGTCTCCTCTAATACTCCAGACCAAACTCCCGTACGGTTTCCGGTGGTCAAACCCACGACAGGCAGCCTTCCAATCTCATCTCGCCAGGCCGGTCTCTCCACATCTGTCCGTGCCGGCGGCTGGTCCGGCTGCGCACGCCGCGGGCCCACTGGCACCCCATCCCCAGCCTCTGGTCATCCGGAGGTCAGCGATTCAGGAAATGTCCAATCAGGGCCGGCACCGAGTCGATGAACCCGATCGGACCCGGTGACGGGCGGGGCGGCGCCGGCGGCGCAAATGGCCACCAGCATCGCCAGGTCACGTGGTTTGGACCGTGACATCCAAATAGGCGCCACGTGACAACAGGAGTGGCTCAGCCGGCGGTGAAGGGGCTTCATTTTCCCGTTCTGTTTATTTTTACTCTACAGAAGTTACCCCATAGACAGAATAAAACAAATGGTACGGCTGTCGTCGTCGGTTATTTCGTCTGAATGACAGCTGAGTGAAGATCCCAGAAATATTCAATTTGCATTCCGTGAAATCCAGCCAGTTTTTGCAGCAACGAGGCAATGTCATGACATAGCTTCTGTCATGTTATGACATGTCACAGCGTTCCAGAGGCTTCTAGGCGCATGATATCACTGAGGCTGCTGCCCATAAACTATCATTCGAAGTATGCCTTGCGTAACGACAAAAAACAGTCCGATCGAATTCAAGTGCAATCCCCCATCTCCAAATATCGACTCGTGTTAGAAATCTTGCATAACTTAGCTTAAGTTATCTGCGGCCATGTTCTGGTTCTGTTTTGGCGTCGCACCGTGTTTCTTGATGTGTGTACGTGATTTTGACACTCCATATACGTTATATATCAATATACATTATCGATATACCACATATCCGTTCATTTTATAACGGAATGTGTGTTTGAGCCATAGGCCTAGGTATCTGCATGATTAGAGTCCCTTTGTTTCACTTTGTCGCGTAATGTAAAATAAGTGTCATGTAGTTTAATCAGCTGTTACGAAAGAAGGCACGTCTAGCCTTTTCGATTTTCTGAAGCACCTCAATGAGTGGTCGCGCGTATTACGAATTCTGATACCAATGAAAAGCGATCTTGAGGCTTCCAACCATGGTAATGCGCTAAAGTGGCTCTTGAAGATGACTCCAGCAGCACCGAGTAGAGGGATGCCGGTCAATACGAGTGGTCTGTGTGCCTCGTGACGCCCCACTGGATCTGGAGGCGTGCGCCGTTCTCTGGGACTTCTACTGGTTATCGGAAACCGATGACAACCCAGAGGCCGCTTTCCAGGCACTTGCGGTGTTCCCTGGGACATCTGCCGTTGGCTGGGGCCCGGCGGGTCCCGGGGACTTGCGGTGTTCCCTGGGACATCTGACAGTGGCTGGGCATCGGCGGGTCCCGGGGACTTGCGGTGTTCCCTGGGACATCTGACAAGTGGCTGGGGCCCTCGGCGGGTCCCGGGGGCTTACGGTGTTCCCTGGGACATCTGCCGTTGGCTGGGGCCCTCGGCGGGTCCCGGGGACTTGCGGTGTTCCCTGGGACATCTGACAAGTGGCTGGGGCATTCGGCGGGTCCCGGGGACTTGCGGTGTTCCCTGGGACATCTGACAAGTGGCTGGGGCCCTCGGCGGGTCCCGGGGACTTGCGGTGTTCCCTGGGACATCTGACAAGTGGCTGGGACCCTCGGCGGGTCCCGGGGACTTGCGGTGTTCCCTGGGACATCTGACAGGTGGCTGGGGCATTCGGCGGGTCCCGGGGGTTTGCGGTGTTCCCTGGGACATCTGACAGGTGGCTGGGGCCCTCGGCGGGTCCCGGGGGTTTGCGGTGTTCCCTGGGACATCTGCCAGGTGGCTGGGGCATTCAGCGGGTCCCGGGGTCCTCCGCTTGGCCTCGGAGACTGCTGCCGGGCTCCGACGTGCTGCAGGGCCCTTCTGAGCACTCCAGTGTAAGGGTCCGCGGATTCCTGACCGTTGGACTTGTTGACGGCCGTCGTAGGCTCTGCCCAGACGTAGCAAGACTCGCTCCACTTCCACCCAGTGCTCGCCCTGTCGAGCTGTCTGCGCCCCGGCATCAATATTGCCCCCCCCCCCCCCGCCCCCGGCGTAGTTTACCCACCCGAGAACCGACATTATGCGGGGGAACCGTTGTCCGTGTCATGAGAGGGTAAAAGATTCGCGTGATTCGTTTCCATAGGTACATTACATACAGATACATACGACATAGTACATTACCGTTTTCTAGCTGATGGAAGAAGATTGCAAAATACAAAGATAATATGTAGGTATTGTGAGTAGAACTATCATTGCTTTTGAACTTCGTAGCTACCCCTGGATATGGCCGAATATTCTAGTTGCCGTATACGTCTGTTATCACCGGAAGGGTCTGCAAAGGCTAGTTGGCGCGCACAGACGAAAAGCGTGTCGCAATTTCGGTGCGAGAGCACTGGCGAGAGTGCAACAGTCACGTACAGACGTGAGGCGTGACAGAGCACCGGGAACTCCAGCGATGAGTGGCTCGTGTCCATCTTCCTGGAAACGCCGACCGCCGGCTTGGTCGGGCTCAGGGTCATTCCACGGCACAAACACGGCGGCGGTCTGGGACCGCTGAGGGCAGGCGGAGCCGCGTGGCTCGCATCAAACGCGACCAAATGTCAAACAGACCAGGAGCGCGCGACCCAGCAGGCCGCGCTGCTGGACACGGCCGCTGAAGAGGACGAGAGGGCCTTAGCATCGGCGCTCCGGTCGTGCTGCTGTGCTTATGGTTGCGATTTTTGGTTCGGTGGAACCGTAGTGAGAGGCAGACGCCAGGTGAAACATTTCCCATTATGTACATTGTAGAGCAGTGATTGGCAACCTTTGCTTCGGAGAAACTTTTGCAAAGTTCGTAGTTATTGTCATTTGGACATACTTACAAAACTTTTTTCTCGCGAGTTACACCTGGCATTAAGGTGGTTAGGCAGCAAATTTTAAGCGCGGGCCCATATGAAGGGGCCTCGCCGCTCTCCGCGATGTTCAAACACTGATAGCGGGCAGGATGTTGACAATGGCTTGCATCCAGCGTCGACCATCTGTTGTGGTCGGCGCGGTGATGGCCTATTTCCGACACTCCGCTGTGTCCTAATCAGCTCGTCCTCTGGCGACTCTCGGTTAACTCGAGCATAAAGCAAGTCGCCATGGCGTGTGATTGGGCAAACAACGAGCGGGTTTTTAAAAAAAAAATAGATTAAAACCGTCCTATGTGCACAACACTGGGCAGGGGCGTAGTTTCCTATTCGGTTGGGGGGGGGGGGGCGGGGCATCCAGCCCCCACCCAACGTTGAGAAGAAAGTAGGTCAAATACAGTGAGAAGTCAGTTTCTGACGGTGCTTTTTGAGGTGACAGGGATAACCTTTTTCACTACTCATCCCCATCTTCTAACTTATCTGGCCAATCTAAGTCCATGCCACTGGGCTTTTCCTTGTCGTTCCGCCAAAAACTCGTGCTTGTTATTACCTTCTGTCAGACTGTTTAGAAATTGCCAATGTTTTTGTACACTCGAAATGCAAAAGATCGTTGCATTGAAAATCATTAGCATGCTTTTCCTCTTCGTTACCATCCTCTCAGCACACTTCCTTTCACCATGCCGCGCCACGCCGATACTACTACTTGCGTGTTAGGCTGCGCGACCATCTCGCTGTGCCACTGCCGTGCTGCGCGTCGCCACTATGCTGCGCAGTGCTCTCTGCAATGGTACGCCCGTGTCTCACCGCTGTCGCTGTGCCACTGCCGTGCTGCGCGTCGCCACCATGCTGTGCAGTGCTGCCTGCAGTGGTGTGCCCGTGTCTCATCGCTGTCGTTGCACCACTGCCGTGCTGCGCGTCGCCACCATGCTGTGCAGTGCTGCCTGCAGTGGTGTGCCCGTGTCTCACCACTGTCGTTTCCGTTCCAGTGCCAACGGGGCAACGATGGGAGAACAAGTGCGCCGCCTTCTGCGTCAGTCCCGAGCAGACCAAGCTGGCCTACCAGCCGGGCAAGACGTACGTGTATGAGTACAGTTCGGACACGGAGACGACGCTAGCCGGCGCCACCGACGAGGCGTCGAGGCTGCACGTGACGGCTACGGCCGAGATCACGGCCAACTCCGGCTGCGACTTCACCCTGCAGGCAAGGCACACGTGCAGACAGACGCGGCGCAGGCAGACCAATGCGCACGGGGGCAGCACGGACAGACAAGAACATGTAGCACTTGTTTCTACCTGTCGGTCCGTGTTGTTACAAACCCTACAAAAAGCTCTCTTGTGGGACGATTTTCCCAGCCGAGTCAAGGCGTGGTGTCGCAATCTGCCAAAAAAACCTATGATATATTCAGGCTGCAGTTAATTCCTTTTATAAATTTGATCCGAACCCTTTGAATGGATGGATTTCTGGGATCAGCGCTCACTCTAAGCAGTGCTTGGTGTGTGAGCCCTGAACCCCAACCATCCGATCGCGCAATTCCTAGGCAACGGGCAGAATTTTAGTGGCGAAAGCTTTACGTGCCGCAATGCTCGGCACGGCCCGTTCCTGCCCTCTGACGTCAACTGACCTTTAGCGCGACCGCTGGCACCCGGCCGCAGGCTATACCTGCCAAGGGCAAATAACGAGCGCCCCAAAGCGACTTGAACCCATCCCGCCCACGGGTGGGGTGGATCGGAACGCAGGCCGCTACTACCAACTGAGCCACCGGGACGGGACGGACAGACGAATTCGACTAAATTCCGCAGTTAATTCTATTTAAATTGTGTTTCCTTTTTTTGAGGAAGCGTTTTCGTATGGGAAGAATTCTGCACACCAATGTAAACTCAAATCGATGCTGGCATTAGCTTCACACATTGACGGCAACTTGACCGATTACTGCAAGCAATTGAGAATGGTTGTTTTGTGCGCCTTGTGCAGTTTATATCGCCAATGGAAAAGTGCCTCCGTGATCGACATGTGTCAGGACTGGTACCCGGTTCCGATGCCCCGGTGCAGATCTGACCCACTTCAGATCAGTGTTTACATCGCCGCCGATGCAAACCGCCTAACCCCGGACTTACTTTCGCAGCTGAGAGGAGGTCACGCTTAAGGACTCGGACCCGAAGAACGCCAACAGCAAGCAGGAGGTGGACAACATGGCCACTTTCAAGCGGGAGCTGGAGCGGCGGCCGCTGTCCTTCAGGTAAGTCGCGCGCGATGTCCGCGTGCAGCGGGCGACGCTCGTCACGTGCGGGCGAGCCGGGCCCCACTCTTCCTCATCCCGCCGTCTGCGCCGAGGAGTGGGCACACACCAGAACATGATTCGAATGGGCGCTGAACGCATCAAACTGTCCGATGCGTTGCGTCCAGCGTTCCGCGAAGTCGGCACATGTTTGTTTGCCAAGAGCGAGGAGGGGCAGCGACTGCACGGGCGCCAGCCGCCGGGATGGGTATCAAGGGCGAGGGGGGGGGGGGGGCAGCGACTGCACGGGTGCCAGCCGCCGGGAGGGTATCAAGAGCGAGGGGGGCAGCCACTGCAGGGGCGCCAGCCGCCGGGAGGGTATCAAGAGCGAGGGGGGGGTGGGGGGCATGCGACTGCACGGGCCGCCAGCCGCCGGGAGGGTATCAAGAGCGAGGGGGGCAGCCACTGCACGGGCGCCAGCCGCCGGGAGGGTATCAAGAGCGAGGGGGGGGCAGCCACTGCAGGGGCGCCAGCCGCCGGGAGGGTATGGTTGTGTCGTGTGCACCGGCATGGCACCACAGACCAACCAGAGCGCGGCATGTCGGCCGCTGGGGGCGCCACTGGGAGGCGCTGCGGGGTGCGCCACCCAACGAGTGCCCTAGACGAGTTGGTATGATCCTGTCACCCCCCCCCCCCCCCCTCCCCCCAAAAAGTGTCCGCAATTTGCAACCCTGGAGCATGTGGCGTCTCCTCCCGAAAACTTTGCTCGGTTGACGCCGATCACAGGTGGCCGCAATATCTTGTCCGTTGATTTTTACCCGTGCCGCCCGCGCAAGATGACGGCATACTAAAGGTGGAAACGCATGGCCTGAGGCAGGCATGAGCCGACGCCTCCCTCCATTGCAGCTACCAGCATGGACGCATCGAGGACGTGTGCTCCGACCCCAATGAGCCCGTCTGGGTGCTCAACTTCAAGCGGGGTCTCATGTCCACCATGGTCAACCAGTCTGAGGTCGATGGAGGCTGGTGAAACTCGCAGTCAGGAGGTGAGTGCTGCACTGCCATGAAACACATCACTTCCCTCATCTACCCGCCCCGGCGTGACCGACGATGGGACTGTAAGTTTGTTGCGGGGCGTGCAGAACATAACCAAGTTAACACCACTCTCCTGAGACAAGCATAAATATTACAAGCAAAATAAGCGAAGACACCTTCATGCTGTCAAAGCACTGAGCCACACAAAGGAAGGAGGGCTGCTTGCCACATCCTACTACGCGAATGTAACACAAATACAACTTAGCCCGCAAATGTACCTCGACCCGGCGATGTCTCGGGTGCGTCTAGTGTGGCTCAGCACGCTCACTGACACTGCTAACGGCAATGCTGCCAAACGTGAGGCGATTCCTGAAGACCACACAAACGTGACAGACACTGTGCGGCCGGACGTCGGTCGTGTCCAGCGACGTCATGCAATGACCAGTGACGTCATATATTGACCAGTGACGTCACGCCCCTAGACGGACGTGACGGGCGTTTGCACCACCGATTACCTGGTGGAGGAGCACGGCTCCGGCTACCTGGTCACCAAGACTAAGGACCTGCTGAGCTGCACGGGCCGCGGCCACCTCATCTCGTCGCTGCAGACCACGCCGTACACCACCTACTCCAAGGTCCAGTCGCTGCCGCTTGTCAAGTGAGTGCCGCTCGGCGAACGCGCATCCGTTGGCAGCCCGTATCGTGGCAGCTCGCATCGTGGCAGTCCGCATCGTGGCAGCCCATCTCCTGGGCTGCCATGGCGCGACACCACGTTGACAGCCGCCTGCCAGGCGGGCTGCCATCGTGTGCGCCATTGCCCTGTCACCGCTCTGCTATAGAGGCCCGCCCCTTACCCCAAAACATCATTTTTTTCATTTTTCGCCATCGATGTCGCCTGACAGAAAGTTAGAAATCCCCGTGGTGCGTTCGCCCTGAACCTGCCCTCCTTTCACCCTTCTAAGGAAGTCCTGGCTGCGCCAATCATAGACGGAGCTATGCCAAGCTGGAGATCTTTAAGAAACCTAGTCGACCAAGGCAGCTCAGTCCACACCGTGTAGGCTGGCACGCGTTCCAAAGCGGGCCCGCGCCCGATTCCACCTCAGCAGAGTGAACTCCGACTGACACCGCATGGGATTGATTCCGACTTTGACTCAGAGCGGCGCAGCACAATTTTGAATCGAACCCGATTACGACTGAGGGACAACCAACTCAGCTTCGGACCCAGCCCTGGTAGAGTTGATTCTTTTGATAAGTTTTCGAGACAAAATCGCTGTACTGGTTTCGTGAAAGTCTGTAGAGGATATTTGTTTTCATAGCAACTTATTCATATATGACTGTCTCATTTGAGGACCATATGGGCTGCCATTCTGCTTTTGTACGGCGTCAGCTACTTTCTCATTTGCGTCGACTCATGGCTGATTTTGTTGGCTCGACTCAGATTCGACTCCGTCCTAGGTCTAGTAAAGCACATGTCTATGCAGCTGTGCACCTGATCTGTAGTTAAAAATTGCTCTGCCTCAGTGATGGATTTAATCCTAGCGAAATATTTCAACGAGGTAAGCGACCGTCAGTCCATCCTGCCGCTGCATTTGGCTTAAGCGCGAACGGCATTTGCTCTGCACCACTACCGTGTTTGCCGCGTTGGATCGGTGTGTCTGCCGCGTTGGATCAGCGTGTCTGCCGCGTTGGATCAACCTGTGTAACACGTTGGATCAGCGTGTCTGCCGCGTTGGATCAGCGTGTCTGCCGCGTTGGATCAGCGTGTCTGTCGCGTTGGATCAGCGAGTCTAACACGTTAGATCGGCATCTCTGCCACCTTGGATCGACGTGTCTGTCGCGTTGGATCGACGTCTCCATCGAGTTGGATCGGCGTGTCTGACATGTTGGATCAGCGTGACCGCTGCATTGGATCGGTGTGTCTGACACGTTCGATCGCCATGTTCGACTCGTTCGGTCACCGAGTCTGATGGAAGTCACCATGCCGTCGGACCGGCGCCGCCACCCTGTCTGAGCCAGCCCCGTCTGCGCAGGAGCTCGCTCCGGTGCCAGCAGAGGGTGTCGACGGAGCGGCTGCAGTCGGCGGAGTGTGAGGAGAGCCATCTGTTCCGGCCGTTCTCCCAGGGCGAGAACGGCGCCGTCACTCGCACCACGGTCCGGCTGACGGAGGTCACCGTCAGAGACGCCGTTCCCAGCTACGACAGCGGTGAGCAGCGCCGCCGCTCAGCTGTCGGGCGAATGCCCCTCAGCGATCGGGTTGGCTTTATCGAAGCTATGAGAGCTGTAGCGCCCGGCCATGCACATCGTTTGCATGCTCTCCTGGCGGCTAGCTTTAGGAGAAATTGGTCATTCGCAACCAATGGATGATGCCGCGCATGACGTTCAAGTAAGCGGAGCATGATGCAATGAAAACATTGTCCGTTTTTACAGATGAGCCGACCGTGCGCGGCTCGCTGCTGTTCGACCACGCAGACGCCCAGCTGACGCAGCGGAACCGGGTGCAGGCGGCCGCTGAGCTGCTGGCACAGCTTGAGCTGAAGACGGCCGACGGTGTACGACCTGAGGTACCGGCCCTCTTCACGCGCCTCGTGCGCACCCTCCGCCACTTCGACGCGTCGGGGTTGAGCCAGCTGGAGGCGATGACGAAGGACGGACCGGCGCGGCGTTACTTCATCGACGCACTTCCGCTGGCCGGCACTGCTTCAGCCATGTCCGTCATGGGCGACCTGATGAGCCGCCGCGCCGTGCCCGAGGAGGCGGCCGACCGCTGGATGACGGCTCTGGCCTTTGTGCACGAGCCAAGCCTGGAGATGGTGGCGGCGCTGGCGCCGCTGCTGGGGGAGGCCGACGTGCGCCGGCAGACTCTGCTCGGCGTCTCTTCGCTGGTGCATCACTACTGCGAGCAGCACGCGGACTGCGCAGAGCAGGCTGCCGTTCAGCAGGCGATCCGCCAGCTGGAGGCCATGCTGGGCTCCGGATGCCGCAGCAACTCCGAGGATGAGGAGCTGAAGATGCTGACCGCGCTGAAGGCGCTCGGCAACGCCGGCCGCCTGGTGGCCGGCGGCGACACGCTGCGCAGCTGCTTCGAGGGTGAGAACACGATGGAGGTGCGGCTGGCGGCGATCCGGGCGTTCCGTCGCATGCCGTGCAGTGCCGTGACCGACAGTAACCTGATGGGCATCTTCAGTAGCGAGCAGGAAGACACTGAGGTGCGTATTGCCTCTTATCTGGCCATCATGCAGTGCCCAACGCACGGCGTCGTTGACAAGGTACAGGAGATCCTCTCCCGCGAGTCAGTTAACCAGGTCAGCAGCTTTGTGTGGAGCCACCTGACCAGCATGCAGGAGACCAACGACCCCGCCAAGCAGTACATGAAGCTGCTCCTCTACAACGTGGACCTGGAGAAAAAGTTTAAAACTGACGTACGGAAGTTCTCCAGGTACTTCGAGAAGACGATGTTTTCTACGTCGATGAACGCCGGTGCGACTGTCGACGGAAATGTCATTTTCACGCCTGAGTCATACATGCCCAAGTCAGGAATGTTCAACTTCACCGTGGACTTGTTCGGGCAGGCCATTAATCTTTTGGAGGTTGGTGGGCGCGTGGAAGGCCTGGAGGACTTTTCCGAAAGCATGTTCGGCAACAATGGCGTCTACCCGCAGCAGGCTATCAGCCATATCCTGAAGACGATGCGTGGCCGCGATTCTAACGACCTCTCCACCTACGGCCGTCGGATCCAGACGCCCAAGGCATCCGCGTACTTGAAAGTATTCGGCAACGAGCTCAAGTTCAGCAAGTACGACTCGCTTAACGAGCTGGTCAGCTCGCTGGGAGCCAGTGATCCGCTGGACTTCCTGCAGAAGCTGGCAAAGGATATGGACTGGACTGAGAACTACCAGTTCCTGGATTCGGCTTACACCATGCCCACTATCGCTGGCTTCCCATTTGTGCTGAAGGCGGTCGGCACGGCCACTGTGTCTCTTAAGACGGGCGGCAGCTTCAACATTGAAAGCTGGGACAAGATGAACATCAACGGCCACGTCAAGCCGTCGGCGGCGGTGGAGATCATGAGCGAGATGGTGGTGGATGCACATGTTGCGCACACTGGCCTCAAGATGAACACGAACCTTCACACGTCCACCGTCTTCGACGGCCACGCCATCGTCGACTCAGGCAAGATGGTCTCGGTGAGGATTAACATGCCGCGAGAGAAGGTCGAGATCCTGGACATCAACACCCGTTTCCACAGTGTGTTCAGGAACAAAGCACGCAAACTGGAGATGCATACCGACAACCGCTACGAGCTGGTAGCATGCTCTGACCGTTATGTCAGCCCGCAGCTACTGGGCGTCAATTTCTGCACGGACATCAGGTACTCGCAAGGCTCTGAGGGTCTGCCGAGCGTGCTGCTCTCCGGTCCGCTGACTGCCCGCTTCACCATCGAGAAGACGGACACCATCAAGGGATTCGAATTCGAGTACCGCCACTCGAACGAGGCCAGCGTCAGGAAGTCCAGTCTGGTCATCGACACGCCCGGCTCCGCCACTGACCGCCGCATCAACGTGGACTACATGATCAACTTCGAGCAGAAGGCGTTCAAGGCCGGCTTCCGCACGCCCATCAAGTCGATGGACGTGTCGGGCAGCCTGGACCTGGCAGGACAGACCAAGCAGTTCGATGCGTCGCTCAAGATGGACGATAGGGAGCTGGCTGGCGTTGCCGGCCGGCTGGAGGTGGACGAGACGCCAGTCATGGTGCGCTACTCGCCCTCCTTTAGCGTGCGCGGCCCCGCCGGCGAGCTGGTCGCCTTCGACGGTGGACTGATCGTCAGCAAAAACAAGCACAAATACAACGTAGACATCACCATCAGCAAACTCTACCAGACGCCCATTGTCCTTAAGGGTGAGTACTGCCCGGTGGGCTTCAGGATAAGATGTAGCTATGGGAAACCTTCCTTAGAAGAGCATACACAGATTGGCTTTTTCAAGGAAGGCATGCGTGATTCGATAAACTTGCCTGATTTGGTCAATATAATGTCTCCACAGAATTGTGCATGTTAGCCTCCTTTTACACGACACATCCTTGGGATGGGAACAACATTCCTCGCTTGCTGAAGAAATTGCATTCCTTACTTTTCTGGAGTTTTTGTTTTCCTTTATGTTATTGAGCTGAAAAAGAGACCTTCCTAAAAAGTGTGCATTTTTTGCGATGCGAAATATAAGCTATTTCGAATGTTATGTCGACAAACCATATGCTCTGCAGGCGCCTTTAGCGAAGATGATGGGACTTACAACGTCCTGACATCAGTGGAGTCTTACGTTCTGGATAGCAACATGAAGGGGTCGTTCCGCTTCGCTGGAGACAACCTTATCATTCACGCCAACACCGACTACAGCTTCATGAACGGCGAGCGCCAGACCATCATCGTCAGCTCCAAGATGAGCAAAGACGAGCGGGACGACCTCACCGCCTACAAACTGTTCCTGGATACCAAGGTACTTGAACAGCTTAACATCAAGCCTTACCTGCATTGTCAGGATGCAAATGTGTTGCATCAGGTCGTTGCTTATCTTTGCAAACTGTTTTAAAACGTGCGGTAAGAAACCCCGCGCTGACGCATTAGCTTGCCGCGGGGGTAAGATATTCGTCCCCGTGTTATGCAACATCTCCGAAGGTGTTTGTGTGCACGCCATTTGCTGCTGTTCTGCTTGTAGCTGTCAGGTGTCGTGTTTGATTATGATTTAACGGCTGCCGTCATAGCGACTGGATGCCTTTCATGATTCCTTAACTTGCGCGCCAGCTGTCCTTCCTCACGAGACTGCCTCTTTGTCCCAGTTCTCTGCGCTTCCGATTCTGGACACCCAGCTGACAGCTGAGCGGCAAGTGACCTCAGAGGGCTGTGAGAGCCGGCTGGTGCTGACGCGCGGAGAGCGCCACTACGAGCTGAATACCATGCTGAGCCACGGAGACAAGATGGCCGCCAGTCTCGGCGTGGTCGTCGCCCACTGGGACGTGGACTTCAAGCTGGGCGGAGAGATGGACGTGAGTGTCGAAATCGAGACCGCGCGTTCTGCTCTGCTGGCGCAAGTCTTGTTGTACCAGATTCTCAGCGGAATGTACAGCAATGTCATTCCTTTAAGCTGAGTTTGAATTCAAAGCACACCTGAACACCCGCATGCTAGCGGGGTATGCTTGAAGACGTAACAAAGGCACTGTGTGATGTGAATGTTAGAAGGTAGTTAGTGATTATGCGCATGCCGAGCAAAAAGCAAAGATAGTGATAGTTGGGCACTGCACCCGCATTGCCTTCCATCGATTTCCCTTTCAGAATCTGTAGAAGAATATTCAGAAATCAGATAGGAATCAGAAGGGATTATCTCCTACGCGTTACACGGAAAGTGACCGAAATTCAGATCACTTCCATACTTGTTGCATCGTGTCATTTCAGTTCAGCCAGGACCACAAGGTGGTGGTGGGCATCGAAGGACGGCTGAACAAGGAGAAGTTCGCCAGGGGCAAGCTGGGGCTGGACTTCAAGTCGGAGCAGCACGGCTTCAACTACGGCGTGTCGGCCGACCTCGACCTGCCCTTCGCCAAGTACTCGATGCAGACCGGCGTGAGGCGTGAGGAGGAGGCAGCCCACCTGAAGGTGAGCGGTGCGCCCTACTAGCAGTCGGCGGTCCCGCCATTGCACGTCCTCAACCAAAGAAGCCCGCTGGTGAATCTGAGATGAATTTGAGGTGAATTTGAGCGAATTAGGTAGAATTGGGACCTGCACGACACTGGATAATCAGCGAGTTAGCCCAGCCGTTTTTTTCTGAGGGGCTGGAGTATTTTGAGGGAGAAGCTCGCAGTGTGTAAGGAGCATGTTTTATATTGTTTGGTTTAGGTTAAAGCGAGCAGCGGTAGTCGGGAACCATGCGCGCAGGGAAAGCAAGAGACCAGGTGTTTTGTGAATATGCACCGTGGCCCCTCATTGAACCGGCAACGGTATTAAATTCGTACTGATTATATTGCATGCAATATGTCTACAACTGACACAGATGGCAAATTTTATGTTGATGCCTAATTGTGATTACATCTAACATATGCTAAGGCAAGTAACAGAATATGGTGCAAAGCTGAGCATATTTAACATGCTTTCGGGTATTTCAATGGCGCCATGACCGTCGCTGGTGAGATGGCCTCGACACCTGCCGGTGCTGACCTGCGCTGCACCAGTGTCGACCTGCGCTGGGCCGTCGTCAACTGACCCAGCCTGTCCCGGCAGATGGTGGTCGTCCGTCAGACGTCGGCCGCGCGCGACGAGGTGGCGCTGGTGGCGCTGCTGGCGCGCGAGCACGGCCAGTTCGAGGTGGACTTGACGTTGAGCGTGCCGCACTACCCGCGATGGCAGGCGGCCGGTCGCCTGGTGCCCGGCACCGGCGGCCTCTACCTGGCGCGTGCCACGCTACAGGGCGGTGAGCGCCGCTACACGCTCGGCGCCGAGTACAAGCTCCAGGAGGAGCATGTGCTGGAGCTGCTGCTGGAGGCGCCGGGCCGCCGCTTCTCAGGCCTGGTCTCGGCGCTGGTCACCGGCGATAGCCCCCGGGTCAAGGTCGACCTCCGCTGCGATCGACGTGTCATGGCGGTGTTCACGGTAAGCGCTCTGGCGTCGTTGCTGTGCTCACGGTATGTCGGGGGTCACGAATGTGCCTGTGCTGAGTTCTTGAGGCGTCGCTTCCGTATTCGCCGGGAGCGTCCGGGACGAACATTGCAGACTCCTATGCCGCAGACTACTACAGGCAACAAAAAATCCCAAACTCATTAAGCAATATGTTTGCATGGATATCATCATTATCCTCCAAAAACGCTGACTCATGTAGCTTACGCCACCATTTAGCTCTCACTGACATTTCGTTCTCATCCAAGGCACTACCCTACGGATGGGAGAAGACTGCCAACTTCGAGATCTTCTGGAACAAGGATGTTGATGATACGCAGAAGGCGTCCTTCGACGTGCTCCTGCGGGGCAATATCATGGCCGCCAGTCTTAAATACCCCGGTCGTCTAATCAAGCTAGATGCAACTTTAACGTGAGTAAACCCAAACCAAGAAGCGTTTATCATGAATGGGTGGTCTGGCATGACCAGTGTTTTCCAATCAAACCATTAGTTGTGGATACGAACATGCGTTGTTTTGGGTGGCAAAAAATTATACTTGAATATTTTTTGCCGAGTTACAGGTAAGTAAAAACGTGTCACGCAACCTTAGTAACCCGTGCATTGCATGTAAGTGTCAAGCACAAGCAGAAGAGCATGCATCATCATTTTCAGGCATGCAGCTAGGATCAACCGTCCTCCAAGCTTCTAAACATGTGGAAAAATTGTGTTGCCGTGGTGCCGAGAGACACTGGGCTTCTATTACATTGCTTGAATGCTTGATAGAGAAGTTGCCGTTGCAAAAGATGTGTACGCAATGAAACCGTAAAAATGAGATAAAAAACAATTGTTTCCACCCAACAGCGTTGGCAGCTGGAGAAGAGCACCATGGCCATGGGAGCATCACCATATATTTCACGGCTAGCCAAGCGTGATTTGCCTTTTGTTTTGGCAGGGCGAGGGAACTGACGGCTGACCTGCAGTAATTTGTTTTGGCAGGGCGAGGGAGTTGACGGCTGACCTGCAGTAATTTGTTTTGGCAGGGCGACGGAGTTGACGGCTGACCTGCAGTACGCGCCCGGCAAGACGATTCACATCGTCCGCAAGGATCAGCGGGTTGGCAGAAACGGGTTCACTACTACTGTCAACGTCGACACGCCCATTGAGGGCTTCACTACCATGTCGCTGACGCTTTTTAAGAAGCCCGATGTGGAGCAGGACGACCTACTGTCCTCTGACCTACTGGTGAATTTCGAGGTATGACGAACGTACAACGTACTTGATATGTTAGCTCTATTCGGACTGCTTATAAACGCAACGGCCTCACTTGAATGTTGCCATGCGTGCATTCATTATCAAAAGCGAAGAGGCTGGAAAAAGTATATCCAGACTGCCTTATCTTCAGCCGCTTTTACCCATTCCCACTGTGCAGTGTTCGAGTGTTTCGCTGACCCTGACTACATGCGGCTTTCGGCAGGTGTCCGGCAACGTGGAGGGGAGCGAGGCGCGCATGACAGGTCTCGTTCTGGTGGACATGCGTCGGCTTACAACTATCAAGACAGAGGTGGACCTGGTGACGCCCTTCCGTGGCTGGGAGCACAATCAGCTGAACTTCAACTACCACATGGACAGAACCACGTTCACGGCTCTCGCTTCCGCCACCAAGAACGAAGATCAGATTGCTCTGGGAGGAACTTTTGAGTTGTCCCACAACTCTGATGCGTTCAAGATCAACGCTGGGCTTGAGGTTGCTCTACCCACGGACGCGCTTCGGAAGGCAAAGATCGGCTTCCACTTCAAAATGGGGGACCGCCACTTGGACACAGGGATTCTTGCTCGATGGATGACCACCAAAGACATGGAAGTGTCACTGAACTTCAACAGCAAGCATGTTCTGGAAAGACAAACAGACATTGACTCTACACTGACACTGAAAACCCCATTCAAAAACGCTGAAAAGTTCGTCACCAACTTTAAGTTTTTCCTAGACCATCATAGGCTACACACCTCATTCAGCCTCAAAGATAACGTCAGGGAGATTTTCTTGGCCCTGTTGGAGGGTGGGAGTGAAGCGGCCCAAGCGTATTCTGGAAAGCTGGTCATCAACTGCGCCGTGTGCCCGGGCTTCGACGTCTCGTACGACCTGACCCCGACCGGAGAGGGAGCCAAGTGGAGAATCGCTGCGCACTGGAACGCTCACGAGACTTCTTTGTCAGGCCTTTTTGCCCAGGAACGTCAACCACACGGAGTTGTGGGAACGAAGACCGTCCTAACTTTGGTTCTGCCCAATCCACCAACGACATATGAACTGCGCCAACGCCATGAAATAAACGTTGACAAGACAACGCTCAAGGAACATCTAGAACTGCGCCGTGACAACGAGAAGATCATCATGGACATGAACTCAAAATGGACTCAGGTTTCCAGCTATGGAAAAATGACGTCTGTGACTATTGCAGGCCATGGCACACTGACTTCACCTTTCAAGGGTTGGGAATATTCCCAGATCTCGCAGACAGTGGAAGTGAACGTGCAAAATGATGAGAGAGTTTCATACGTCGGCCAAACCAAGATACTCAAGGGAGACAAGACCATCGAGATGACCGATACGGCCAAGTTCGAAAACGCTCTGAACTGGCAATACCGTCGGGAGGTAATCAGCAACACCAGGTGGTTCGAGCGTTTGGCTGGGTCTCTGCAGCTGGCATGCCGCTCGGCCAGTGATGCGACGCTGACTGGCAGTGCCGAGTGGGATGGCGAGACAGCTGAGCTTCTTTACTCTCACAACATCCCCGCGATCCATGCCATGTCTGGCCTACAAGGACACAGCAGTGATGTCGCTATCTCCATCACGGCTACGTGGTTTGGTGGTGTGTCCAAGACTCTAAAACTGGCGAATCGGGAGTCGTCTGAGGCGTACCATCCATCTCTGACCGTCAACTACAACGTCGGCAAGACCGTGAAACTGTACGGTGCTCTCTCAAAAGCAGTCGTGTCTGGAGAGTCCCACATAGCTTTCGAGGCACCATTTACTGAGAAAGTCACGTTGTCTGTGAACCCAACCTGGCAGACAGACAGTATTCAGGTTGTTGTGAGGTATATGCATGGAAGCAAGAGCTACAGTGCAGATGCGACAATGACGCACGACTTCCCATCGGCCCGCCCAGTTTGACGTCAAGTTTGCTTCTCCCGACAGCTGTCTTGGGAAAGGAGCCGTCAGCTTTGAGTTCGAGATGGACGACAAGCTGGAGCTGAAGGGAAAGCTAAGCCACAATGACTGGGGAATGTCAGTGAATGGGGAACTGGAAAGAAGCAAGGGAAGCATCGAAATCGGCACTCCTTACGAAGGCTTCACTAGCCTCTCGTTGGCATATGTCTGGGATGGTATGGATGCTGAGCTGCGTTTGAAGCGAGAAAGCAACCAAATTTTGATTGTCGCCGATGGAGAGAGTAACTACGAGATGCTCACTTACAACGTGCGGGTCAACACCCCGTATTATGGATATGAGACCATGGTACTCACTTTCAACAAGCCTTCGCGAGAGAACAAATTTACATTGGAATACGTTCGTGGCCGCGAGACCTCCATCTCCGTTGTCGCAGAGTATGCGCTCTCTGGCCCCGGTTCATCAATAGCGATTGAGACACAAACCTCGTTCAAGGGATTCTCCTCGGCTGCAATGCATCTGAGCTATAACCTTATAGAGCAGACTGCCAGGATAGCGTTCATCAAGGAAGACGACAGCATTGAGGCCAATCTTATCGCTGCGCTCAGCATGCTACACTCCAAGATGTCTCTTGAGTACCAAAACAGCCTGATACCCGGTCCCAAAAAGCTGACTGTCACTGGGGAGTACAGCGTTGAAAATCCGAAGAAGTCATTCAGTGTTGTTGTTTTGAAGGCGACTGATAAGTTTGCGTTCAGCGGCAATGCGCAGCTGATGATGGAATCCTCGTTCCTGACCCTGGAAATGGAGTCCCCGATTCAGGGATACGAAAATGCGAAGCTCGCTGCAAGATTCGATTCGTCAAGGGAAGCTTGCACTGCAAAATTGGAAGCTTCCAAGAATGACCAGGTACTAGGGACTACATTGCACAAGGAGTACATGGATGGTGCTGGCAAGCTGATGTTCGCTGTCGAAACGCCATTTGAAAACAGCAGACACATCCAGCTAGCTGCTGAGTGCGATATTTCCTCCTTCCCGCTGCGCGCAAAGCTGAGCGTCGAGAAAAACACCATCCGGCACGAAATCACTGCGCTGATGGAGTCAACAGACGACTCAGTGCTGATTTCAATTACCACCCCTGTCTCTGGCTTCGAACAGCTCAGCATTGAAGGCGGCCTGGTTGAACAGGGATTCAGCAGGTCAGCCCATCTGGTTCTGACCCGCAACCAGGATCAGATTCGCGCCGTCATAGACGGCGAGTTCAGCTGGACAAAATCGGCCGTCGCCCTAGAAATCACGTCGCCTTTCTCCGTGGCCAAGTCCCTGAATTTCATCGCGCGTTACGACCTGCGCGACGAGCAGAAGACATTCAGCATTCTTCTAGCCAGAAACGGTGCGCAGATTCAGATGAACGGCTATGGCATCATGAAGGTAGGAGCTGCCAAGGGCCTGCTTCAACTGGAGACTCCTTACCCAGAGTGGGAGAGCGTCAAGTATGCTGGTGTCTATGATGTTAATCATGAAGAAAAGATCATGGAAATTAGCTACGAGAAAAATGGAATCAAAAAGGTGATCGCTAGCCGAGGATCATACAATGGGGAGACGGCCTACTTGGATGTTATAACGCCAGTGGAGGGATACGAGCGAATGGGAATAAATGGTCAGTACATCAGTCGAAGGGGCAAACGTGAAGCTGGATACGACGCCCACGTAAACGACCATCGCCACCGGCTGTACGTCTTGTACGAGCGCGTTGGAAAGGAAAGCGCCAAGCTTCGAATCGAGTCTCCTATCGAAGGAATGCGTCTCGTCGAGGCGGACATCAGGTCCCAGACTTTCCCGGATGGAGTGGGATATTACATCAACACCAACCGCGACGGGAAACGTAACTCGGCCGAAATACGCGCCGTGTTTGGAGAAAATGACGTCGGAGTAGATATCTCCATCAAGTCCTATGTGGAAGGGCTTGAGAGTCTGCAGATGTCAGGAAACGTAGTGTACCGCGGCAGGAAGAGGTCGTTTTCTTTCAAGTCAAACAGAGGCGGCAGTGAGGCCGAAGTATCGGGAGAGGCCGTGATCAAGCGGAGGGCTGGAAACGGAAGCATCAAGGCTAAGCTGCCGATCGAGGGCATGGAGGACGTGGACGTTTCTTTTGACTACAAGCTTGGAAAGAAGAAGTCGTTCCGACTGACCTCGATTCGTGGTGGTGAGACGAGGGAGTTCTCCGGAGACTTGCAGTATACGGAAAACAGCATTACCATCAATCTCAATACACCTTACAACGGCTTTAAGAAGCTGCACGCCGACGCAAGTCGTACACAGGCCGCGGACGGCAGGATTGCCGCTGACATCAACCTGCAGCGGGGCAACCGGAAGATTGGCATCGCGTACGACTACCTGTTCGAAAAGTCGGGTGGGTCGGGCAAAGTCGAAATCGTAACACCGTATGATGGCTTCGAAAGCATGATGGCATCTCTCGAGCATACCTCTGGCACCAACGCCCGTAGCTTCGCATTCATGGCCAAACGTGGCGCAAGAGAATGGAATTTGAAGACCACGAGAAGCTGGGAGAACGGCGTGGACGAGGGATCTCTCGTGTTGACGTCTCCCATCGATGAGATCAGGTCGGTGAAAATATCTCGCAGGTTCGACATCAGAAATCTTGCTGCCATGACGTATGATGCATCTTATGAACGGAACGGCAGATCCTTTGTACTTTCAGGCTCTGGAGGAATCGAAGCAGGAGGCGCTAAGGTTTCCTTTGACATAACCTTAACTATGCCCTTGAAGATCAAGGAGCTAAAGGCTGAGGTAGATTACGACTTCACGGTACAGCCAAGGACGATAGTTGTGAGACTGTCTGGAGGGAACAGATACGCGAATCTGGACGCGTCCCTTGGAGACAAGAGTGGGACCGTGACCCTGGTTACAACAAACCCGAAGCTGCCGAAGGTGGACATCAGCTATTCGGCCAACATCGCCAAAAATCTCCGTGACGTTGAGGCAACCTTGGTGCTGGCGGATGGCAGGACGCTGAGTTTGGTCTACAAGGCTGACTATACGACAAAGAACCATGGCAGTGGTCTTGTGAAACTGACGTCAACAACGTTCGGTGAACGCAAACTTGACTGGGAGTACGCAGCACCAGGCGACGACTTAACTGGCAGCATTGTATACAACTCTCCGAATCTAAAGCTGGATTATTCGATTTCCGTGAGCGGCAAGCGGTTCGTTCGGAGACGGATCATCGTCAAAACTGTGATTGAATCTCCGTGGTATTCATCCTCCCGAAACGCTGTCATTCGGTACAATACCAAAACTGGATTTTTCCTGAATGTTCATTTGATTTCAGACGGCCAAAACTATGATCTGGAAATCGATGCCAAGGAAAATGCTGGCAAGCGCGTAGTTGTCCTAAAATACGACGGCAAGATGATAAAAGGACTCAAAATACGGGGAACCTGGACCATCCCAAGAGATCTGGAAAGTAGGAAGGAGTTCGACATCACGTACAAGCGCGGAAGCAGAAAAGCCAGCCTCAGCGGCTTTGTGACGCTTGCTGCCAGCGGGAAGTCAGGGTCGTACGACATCCATTTAACAACGCCTTTTGAAGAAGTGGCCGATCTTAAAATTGGTGGTAACTGGGATTTTGTCTTGCCAAACCGCATTCTTAACGTGGACTACAACAGAAACGGGAAGAGAGCTGAGCTAAATTTCAGCGGTTCTCGTTACGCTAAGCATGCTGACTACAGCCTGTCTATGACAATACCTCCCATTGAGATCATGAAGGGCAAGGTTATCCGGCAGATCGAGTCGACGCTTTCTGTTGACTTGCGCAATGGTTACAAGATCAAAATAACACAGCTGAAGCCCCTGACAGAAGTCATAGAGCTCGACTTGACGGTGCGTGGGAATGTGAGAACGATGAAAGCGCTGTATAAGTTGGTGGACACTAACGACATGGTCCCATGGATGCCACAAAACGTTGACGTCCAATTTCAGTCGAAACGTACCACAAGGCCAAATGGACCCTTGATTGAGCTGGGCCTGGAGACCAACTTCCCCGAGTTTGAGAAGATCGAAGCAAGTATTGATGTGGACAGGACTCCAGGATCGAGCAAAGTGAACGTCGACTACAAGCGTGGCGACAGGGTTGCAAAGTTTACCGGAACGCTAGACAAGTCGGAAACGGGTGGCAGTGTCAGCTTCAGCGCCAGTACTCCGATCGCGGGATTCAATGACATCAGCCTCAGCGGCAGCTACGAAGCTGTCCCTGAACGTTCCTACGCTCTGAACATCGACTATTCCCGCGGTCAGAAGTACGTCCACCTAACTTCCTCCATCAAGCTTGACATACACAAGGATTACGGCAAACTGCAGTCGGCAGGAGCGCAGGTCAACATCAAGTTCGACTCGATGATTACGCGGCCGGTTGACCTGCTAGTGACGTTCGATGGCTCCATGACAGCGCCGCCGAATGGCTCCGCCAACGGTAAGCTGGTGTCCACCCTGAACGGCAAGACGGTGAGTGTGACGTACTCGGTTGACAGAGCGGAGGCCGGCCGCCGGGTATCTCGTATCACCCTCACCACGCCTCTCAAGTATCCCTTCAAGAAGATTGTTTACAACGGCGATGTCTCACTGACCAGCAACAAGGCGGCGTTCAGTCTGGAGTACGGCAGGAAGAAGGTGGCGCTGGACCTGTCCTGGTTCGCGGGTGAGGCACACCAGTACGGCGTCGAGGTGCGCTTGAATACGCCGTTTAAGCCGGTCCAGTCCCTAGAGCTGGACGTAAAGGGCACCGTGAGGCCGGACGAGTCTATAGACGTGATGGCCCACTACCGCCGCGGCGAGAAGATGGTGCATGTTTCTGGCAACCTCAAACGAAGCGGCTTCGACCTCGACTTCGAGACGCCTACGTTCGGTAACTTCAACCTCAAGGCCAGCGTCATTCCAGGCCCGCAGACATACTCGGTGAAGGCTCTGTTGACCATGCAGTCAGGCGTGAGCGCTGGCGGTGAGATCACTGTGAGGGCAGTTAGCACTCGCGATATGCAGCTCACAGTGGATGTGCACACTCCAGTGCGCGGCTGGGAGCGTGTGACGGTAGACGTGGCGTACAGCAACACCGACGAAAGTAACATTCTGCGCGTGGCGTTCGAGGCTCCCCAGACCAAGCGCGTGGAAGTCTCGTTTGAGCTGACGAACTGGGCACGGAACGACAGCACATTCTTCAAGGCCGGCGTAACCACCAACTACTTGGGCAACGCGTTTACGTTCCGCACCAACATTCTGCGCGACGACGCCGGCATGAAGTACGAACTCGAAATCGAGTCACCGTTTCACATTCTGCCTTCGTTCAAGCTCACGGGAACACGCTAGATGACCTTCGCGAGGGCACTCAAATTGTAGGTGGGCAGTAAGCAGATAGGGCCCTGGTTTTGGTCGCTCGCAGAGCGCTCTCTAGGTCACCCATCCTTTCAAACTTACTATACTTGTAAAGACTACTGGCAAGCCTTGTAGAAAATGTCACTGTGCCATGAAAGTGCTCAATGAATAGCGTGAATTACGTTGAAAGTGTACCGTTAGCATGTTGAAACATGTGTAGCATGAATGTACCGGTCAAGCTATGCGTGATCTTGCGTAATGTACTGCGATTAACAAGCATGAGATGTCCATATCTACTACGGTCTCTCGTCCTTGTTGTGTTAAAGATCAACTGATCAGTCCCGGTTTGTGCTGATTCTGGTCGTCGGGTAGCATAATGCGTGGTCAATCTGTACTGATATTCAAATGCAGCTTTGTAATACATCATATGATTACGATATTTTTTTGAGACACAAAGGGACGACGAAACGCTTTGAAACAACCAACTCTTTTAACCTTTTCTTGTTCTCATAAATGTGTTTCGAGATATCCGGCTGTCAGAGCAATCAATGTTAAATCACAAATTTGCAGCAGCCATCGTTTACAACGATTAGTTTTTTAGATTTCACGAGTAGTGCGAAAATCGTGAAATGTCCTGGACCATGAGACCGTCACAACATCGAAGCTGGCAACATAAAAAACAAAACATCCAAAGGTTATAACATCCGGCGATCATTCGAGTCAATCTTGATCTGTCGATTCGAATATTATCCAACAGAGGGATGCCATAGCCGATTTGCACTCGTATGGCAATGAGAGACGTCATCTGGTACAGTGCCACCCAATTAATGCTACTGACATGGGCCTGGAAAACATTTTGTTTACGAACGCCTACTTAACATGTCAGCACGTGTTCGGTAGCAGGCATATTGAAACAAACCTGACTCTGCATATGACAGATTGAAACCAGCGCTACAGGAATACCGACTTTGTATGGGAATGGCAGCCGAGTCGGCGGTTGCATAGAGACAGGACGCGTGGCAGGCATTAGAGGCCGCAACTGCAGCGCAAAAATGTCACGGTGGTGTGGACTCTAGTCGAAATTCGGTTGCCAGTTTACCGCTCAGTCATCAGAGGGAGCTTGGGAGTAGATCTGCATTATTTTGTGAGGGCTCTGTCCCCCCCCCCCCGCCCCCAACCCTTTATCCGTTTGGGACCTCGATATTTTCTTTCGTTTCTTGGCGCTTGAAAATTACGAAATTGTAAGAAGCAGCTTACCATCACACATATACTATCATTTGTGATTTTTCTCGTTGTGACATCGCCGTGTCGGGTGCAGCGGGCTAACTTGATCGCGCAGTATCAAAATCACTTCCTTAAATGGGGGCAACGTTAGACATTGGGAGGCAAACAATTTAATGTTTGCAGGTTTTCACTCCCGAAAGTAAGCCATACGCGTTCTCTTCCCACAACCTAAACATGATATTAACACCGGCGATTCACCAGTCTCATCGACTCTTTATGCCGCCTCTCCTGCGCCGGACATGCCGCCTCTCCTGCGCCGAGCATGCCGCCTCTCCTGCGCTGGACATGCAGCCTCCCCTGCGCCGAACATGCCGCCTCTCCTGCGCTGGACATGAAGCCCTCTCCTGCGCCGAACATGCCGCCTCTCCTGCGCCGAACATGCCGCCTCTCCTGCGCTGGACATGCAGCCTCTCCTGCGCCGAGCATGCCGCTCCTCTCCAGTGCCGGACATGCCGCCTCTCCTGCAGCCAAACATGCCGCACTCTCCTGTGACGGACATGCTGTCTCTCCTGCGCCAAACCTGCCGCCTCCCCTGTGCCGGACAATGCAGCCTCTCCTGTGCCGGACATGCTGTTTCTCCGATGCCGGACATGCTGTATCTTCCATGCCGGACACATGGCAGCTCCAGGGCCGAAGGTGCGCCCATTCCAGCGCTAAACGGCAGTCCCTGTGTCAGACACGCGACTTCCCCTGTGCTCGTACATATTCCAGCACAGATGGACATTCCACTCTTAGTGAAAATGTGCTGTAAAGCTACCTGATTAGAAAAGTTGTCTTACCTGTGCGTGAAATACCAAGGTTACGCATCACGACAACACATCAACAAATACCGCTGCGTACGCTCGGCCCGCGTGGTGTCGTCTTTAAAGTTCGCATGAATTAGCCAAACGATGCTGGGTACTGAGAGAAAATTGTATTTGGTCACTCTTAAAGCCTAATGAAGTGTGGTTTTCTGGTTTGCTTCCCACAGTTACTGATTTGTGACTAGGCTGTGGCTTATTCCTGGTGTGAAGCGAATTGGAGCTTGCATCTTGAATCATGTTAGCAACATAAACGCGGGCATAATGATGTCTCTGAAAGTGCGGAGTGGGACAGGGGCAAGCTCAGATCTGGGTTCACCCTGGTGTCCTGGCCCTCGCCCTGATAGGGGAGGTCGATGCGACCCCCAAGTCTTCTTGAAGTCACCTCTCCGGAGTGTCGCGCAATTGCGCCCGATTTTCGGTAGCCTATGGGACATCTATTGTGCCTGTCTTGACACAAGAAACGCGTTCCTAGAGGAACAGGAGTGTTTTTTTTTAAAAGAATACTGTACGCCTGGCCGGCTGGGGGACGGGGGCAGGGGGGGGGGGAGGAGACGGTAACCGGTGATACCGCGGAACACGCGCGGCGGGACGATATGGCAACATTAACGAGCCATACATCATTCGCATATGGTCAAAGGATGTAACACTATACACCAATGTTCTCATAATTGAGCAAGGAACACGTCTGTTTATGCTTCGTGTTCCCGCGAGACATGGCGTCGTACGTAGATGTAAATCTGAAAAGGTGCGATTTCAAACTTTCGTGATTTCACACCATGCGGACAGTTTGCGAACGTTGGTTAGGTGCGTATGCAGTATGTTTACCTTAAATGACCAGCAACTCGAACTGCATGGTACGCAAACATCGTTAAGCCAAGCGAAGACATGCAAGAGAAGAGTTTCATAAATGTAATTGCGTTAGGAGTAAAGGAATCATATTTGAAATGGTCTTTCACCTTAAGTATGTTTTATTTTGACAGATTTCGCTTGGCTCTGCCACATTCTGTGCTCTGCTGTACTGTGGTGTGCTGTCCTCCGCCTGTTGTCGCCGTCTTGACCTGTTCTGCCATCTCTAGAACCTAACGTGTGTACCTAGAACTTGTCTTACACGACAAACTCCTTCATAGCTCGCTCAGCCCTCAGCCTTCTCAGCCCTCAGCCCTTTCCTCGGCCCTGTTGTCCTGTTGTCTTCTGTCCTATGCTATCATCTGCTGTCCTGCCTTGTATCATTAACTCCTGTCCTGTCCCTGCCCGCCCCCTCCCCCCAAAAAAAGATCGCCGGACATGACCTATTTGTTATTGAGAACACACACACACACAACATATATAATATATATATATATATATATATGCATGCAGATATACATATACTGACATTTGCGATCACAGCCCTGTG